AAATATCTTTTGTAAAATGTGACGTGTCATATATACATTTATGTATCAAAAATGAAGACTAAAATTTGACTTTGACTTCTCCGCCAATGTCATGCTAGACGGAAATTTGTAGACATGTAGTGTCAACACTTGACATTTTACAGGAGAACACACTGATATATCTGACAAATATGCATGCCCTACACGAACTTCCGCATGCTTAAAAATGATGTAATAATTCAAAATGTCACACTACGTTTTTCTTTTCGGAACATAATTTATTACAAATCTGAAGCCATATAGTAGATGATATTGATATGATTTCAACTGAAAAGCAGGTTTGTTCTCACTTTGATCTGTTTCTCCCCCACCATGTCAAGATCTGACAGAGCAGTTTGGTTTGAGCTTGAAACTGAACGTGAATTTATTCACTGCCCACGTTATGCTAGACGGAGATTTGCGGAGTTTCCAAAAGAGATGCGTAGGGTCATTGGTACCTAGTTCATGTTAGACATGCATATGCGTGAGAAATGTCAGTCTGTTCTCCTGTGAAATGTTATGTGTTGAGTCTACACATCTGTTTTGGGGCAGATAATAACCTTGCATTCATTTCAAAGTCAAACCAAACGTGATGGGTAAATCTGGCAATGACAGGTGAATGAATTTATAAGTGATGGCACATCCTACTTTTCAGTTATAGTTACGCTGATGTCACATGCTGTGAAGGTCGAAACGGAATGCATAAGCTACGTGCAATATCAAAATCGACAAGTTTTTGTCATACGGGACCAAGAAATACAGGCACAAACTATAGAAAATCGGCTCATTAAAGCAGTTGTCTCTTTCGACAATTTCTAAATTCTAACCAAACCTCAAGATTTTTCCAAATCCTAATATATTTATTTCTCTTCCGAATATGTATTCTGTAATTCAATTTCACTCTTTTCAGTGTTTGCCGTACATAAAATAGACCTAAATAATAACTGTTCTTTTATTCGTCATCATGAATATAACATTGCACAAGATTCAGATCTTAAATTCCATTGGATAGTTACAAGCAACAAGAATTAACTCTCTCAACTCTCATTTCTTATCACTTGTGCTTTATTGGTTTTTTTCATGTTGAAACATTTGAATACATGCAATGAACTTTTCTCATTACTTATCTTTAATTATTTTATATCTTTCAACTTTGCAGTCCGACGCGGGCCTCAATAGTTCAATAAGGTTTCAAAGCGAAAATGTGAGGTCGATTTTTGCTATAATAGGGAGAATTTCTGTCAATTGTTATATTTATCCAATTCGCCCTAACCATTCCTTGGCACAGCTCAAGTTGATAATTTTCAGATTAATACTTCACGAGATTCTACAATATTATCTATACAAATGCACGTTATTTAACTCTCTTCAGTTCACCCTACTTTGCTACCCACTAGAGATGCCTGACGTCACAGCCAAGCCCACCTCCCAACTGGATGCGATAACAGATGTCGATTCGAACAGGCAGTGGTCGTTGCGCTATGACGTCACACCACTACTAATTTGGTGGGCTCACACCGATGGAACATTCATAATTCGAAGGATCTTCGAAGTATGCAGACGTATGTTTGTACATAGACAAGCACATGATGAAACCCTGTACGGTGCATTCTCACACACACACCAATCGAATGTAATTACGTCATTAAGACACACACATACACACCCACAAAATCTCATATGAAAAACATTCTGAACGATCCATGCACCAGACCCTTCAAGGTCACATCGCCTTGATGGTACTAAACAACAACAAAAAAAGCAATTAATACGTCATAGTGGTGGGGGGAGGCCCAGAACCGGCTGTATTGTACTACTGTCGATAACTGTACTTGGTGTTGAAAAAACTTTATCCTTTATGTATACCCAGACAAAGAAATCTTAAGGAGTAAGATCTGTGGATCGAGCTGGCCAGTTAATTGGCCCATTGTAACCAATCCATTTTCTAGGGAATATTGCATCTAAATGTTCCCTTACTTACCATTGCTGTATTATGGGGAGGAGCGCTGTCCTGTTGAAAATATTGTATTTCATGGCGGATATTCAGTGGAAATTCATCTAAGTAGCCATCGAATTCATTGAATATACAATGAAGATTCATTTGACTATTCAAATGATCATCGTGGAAGAAAGGCCCAAATATGTTTGTTCCCACAATTCCAAACCAAACCTTCATTCCGAACCTTTCTTGGAAATTGTATTTGTATTATTCCACCTATAATTGATATTTATGTTAAATCAACTGTTGATGATGAATTTTGATTCGTCCGTCCATATTTTTTTTTACAAATATTTTCAACTTCCCTATTTTTACGTCTTAGTATAAACCACTTCGCAAATCGTACTCTCCTTCCGTAATCCCTTTCATTGAACTGATGAACTTTGCGTATCCTGTAGCATTTATATTTGTTCCTTTTCAAAATAGTTCTGGTGGATTTTACAGAAATCTCCATTTCGTGGTCAATTTCTCGTAAAGAAAAATCTTGATTAGTATAATTTTTATAACTGGCCAAATCTAAATTTTAAAAAAAGATGTTTTCACTGCATAAATTTTTAAGTGGTAATATTTGCCTTTCCATAACATTCATTTGATTCCTCACACTTCCAGTAACCACACATTTCCTTGTTTTTTTTCGGTCAAATGCACCATAGTCCCTCAAATTTCTTTCTAATCGTCTAAACATTTGGATGTTTGGAATACGTCGATTCGGGTAGAGTTCAACATATACATTCCTAAATAGCGTATCAGTCCTTTCATCATTTGAATATATCTTTGATAAGTTCATACACGTCTGACAGTTCTCAGCAGATATCAACAACGCATTCATTTTTCCTGCCATAGAAACCAAGCAAAGCCTACGCGTTTAAGATGGTAAATGAATTGAGATGCTATATGATCATACCAAATTATACAGCTATCGAATTTTGACCAAAAACAGATATTTTCGTTACTTCCATGATTGAGAATTATAGAAATATTAATCAAAATCAAAATTTCCGTAGACCTAGGGAAGGCATGGAAAAAGTCACATTACTCAGTACAATTACAATGAGGTCACAATCATAAAACAACATAATTATAAGATATACTATATAACATTTAGACCATAAAAGGGATACAAAATCTTCATAATCTATCTGCCCCTTTATTTTTCCGACATACAGCCATGCTAAATCATCATCTTTTTCAACGCCTTGGATCTTCATGTTCAGCTTTTTGTTGGATCCGATAAGCAGAATCTGGGATTTATCAACTGGACTAATATTAGTTTGAGACTTTCGCACGGAAGGTTTGCTGTAATTCACATTCACATTGGTGTTTATTTTATTGGATTTTATCTCAGATGTTTCACTTCTTTCGTTTGGTTTTTTTACTTTTTGTTCGGTATGGGTGTTCAGGTTTGACACCTTTTTATCTGTATTCAACCGAACATTTGACGAAATTTGTTGCTTGTTATTGGAACTAGCTATTTGATTTTAAGGAGAAATATGATTTCTTCCTGATCTTGCAGTCTTTTTGCCATCTGGTCAGATAGTTTATCTTGAAGTAAACACTCACGTTCAAGTTGCTGGCATTTTTTCGAAATAAACATGCACTCGGATGAACAATTTTTTGAGACATGATCGCCACTAACTACTGGATTCAACTTTTGAATGGATTTTAGAAAACTTTGTAAAATCTTATTTTCACCGAAAGTATCGGGAAGAATTTTAGTCACAATTAGATCAATTATCTCACTTTTCTTCAGCTTATTTAGCTCCGTTGATAACACAACCTGCTCAGTCGACGACATGTCGGTTATTAATTAGGAACTATAATTGACTAGGGAGAAATAAGCCTTGAAAGAAGGATTATGGCAATACAAAAATTTCCAAAACGAAAATGTACGAATTTTCATTTTCTTAGGGTACCTACTTGTCGAATTTATAGGGTCTTCTGAATTATATTTTGAAGAAATCGAAACAATCTAATTTGAAATAGATGTCATTGATGATGATAGGTATTTCAAATGAAACGATATAGAAATATCAAATGTGATATACCCTTGGATTGTCAATTTACTGCTTTATCAATATCTGTAATGAAATAGACACGAAACATTTTATCGAATATTTATACGAATATAGTACGCTTCGAATACAATAACATTTTCTTTTTTATTTTTTGATATTCTCCGAAATAACAATTCCATTTGAAAAAAACGAAAAACAGCATTTTTGGTTTTTCTTGTATAACTCGAGAAGGGCGAGAGTCCCCGTAAATTGTCTTCGACCATTGTATTGTTGCCGATGACAGTTACCTTTTTACACGCTTTACCTGTATGTACGTTTGTTTGTATGAATGTTTGTTTGTTTGTAACTCTCAAGCTCGGGATCTGTATTGACAGGATTATAGATATTATTGCTTGATCTATTCGCAGGCAGATGGCGCTGTACGTAACCTCCTTGATAGTTTATTCAAAAGAAAATCAAAATGATAAATATAGTTTGAAAACTAAAAAACACGCTTTTAAAGCATATGAAACTAAAAAGTAAAAAACAAATATAGTTTAAATTAATTAAAAACACGCTTTTAAAGAACAACGAACTGAAAAGTAAAATTTTTTTTTTAAATAAGCTCAAAACAACAATCGAAAAATACTAGTATACTTGTGACAAAAGCGTGGGCGCTTTGTGCCATATTTTTTGTATATCTAGCGCCCAGGCTTTTTTCTCAATATTAATAGTATTTTTTGATCGTTATTGTCTTAAGCTTATTTAAAAAAAATATTTTCAACTTTTTAGTTCGTTGTTCTTCAAAAGCGTGTTTTTTACTTTTTTTAAACTATATTTATTTCCCATTTAATCGTCTTCGTATCTGTAACGGTTTAGAATATAGCAATGTTACCACATTATAAAAGAAATGGCCTGTATAAAATAAAACTTTTATCCTATTGATATACTCTTGAATTCCATATTTATATTCCGTTTTTTGATTATAGGAGAGATGCTCATAACAGTCCTTGTTCTCCTGTGGCTTCCGGGAGGGCATTTCGATAATTCATGTAATTTTCATGAAGAGGCCGTTAGCTGCATAGATATACAACAAGAAGAATTTATTGATGGATTCTACGAGAACGAGCGATATTTACAAAAAAATAATGTGTACTCTATTGAAATATTGGATTCAAATTATTCATTTATAGAATCCTTCATCGATCCAAGAAGATTTTTTCCACGTGTAGTTGTTGTTCATTTGAGGATACGGAACTCCTTAATTCAACACATTGCCAGGAATGCTTTCGAAGATTTGGATAATCTGTATACTCTGGATTTGCGAGATAATTCAATAAAAGAAATCGTTTTCATTGAGACTCTCATACGTTTGACAAGTTTGGATTTGAATAACAATGTAATCAGCGTTTTAGACTTGAACAATTTCAAGTCACAAAATATGGTGAAAGTTAACGCGAGAAACAATAGTATTGTAGAAATATTACCTTCCAGAGAATATAATAGATTTTCTTCATTTGATGTGAGCCATAATGTAATTTCGGAATTCAATGAAACTCACTTAAATTGTTTGTTTGTATCATTAGATATGAGTTATAACCTAATTCAAAACATATCGGTGGCATCATACAAAAATATCATCAATTTAGAAGGAAATAATATCAACTTCCTGACTTCACAGGAAGGCAGAACATTGAGGTGCCAACAATTATATTTAACAAATGTGCCTGTGTCTCTACCTTCACAATTGGGAGTCTCTGAAATTTTCAGAATAAGAAACTTTCAATTGCCAATACTAAGTGAATCGGAATTCGATATAGATCGGCTCGATGCCAGCTCTTATCTCAAAATAGATTTTTCAAATTCATCTTTAACAGATACATCTCAAAATTACTTTTCAAATATCGAGTTATCGCTTTTGAATTTGAGCTATAATAATTTTTCAGTATTGGAAAAAAGTTTATTCAAGAGTTCAAGTATAAATATTCTGGATATATCGTATTCAGGAATAACATATTTATCCAATATCGTATTCAAAGATATGTCGACTTTACAGCTATTGAATCTAACAGGCAATAACATACAAGTCGTTGAACATATCTGCAAGTTCGTCGATATTTTTTGTATTGATTTTTCGCATAATATAATAAATACTGTTGAATCTAATTCATTCGGTAGCTGCAGACATCTACACACGCTCAATATTTCCAATTCTCAAGTTAGAAGCATCATGCCAAGAGCATTTTCAGATTTATTTCATTTAACAAATTTGAAACTGGATAATAATAATGTTAAAATTGTTGATGGTAATACTTTCGGAGATTTGAGATCAGTAATTGACTTATCTAGGAATGATTTGGGTATCTTGCCAACCAACGCCTTCTCCAATTCAGAAGTTATGGATTTGCGATTTTTTGATGCCCACATAGAAATTGTAAGACACAAATCATTCAATAATTTATCTCGATTAAAACAATTGAATCTTTCGCATACTGGCATCACAGATGTGGAAGATTATGCATTTTTCAGTTTACCTGCATTGCTAACTATAGATCTGAGTAACAACAAACTAACAGTAGTTAAGAGTTACACTTTCATCAACTTACCAGTAGAGGTTTTGCTCCTATACGGAAACAAAATAAAAATAATAAAAACAGAAGCGTTTACCCATATGTATTTTCTAAAACAATTGGATTTATCAAGTCTTGAAATTCAAACATTAGAATCTTTTGCGTTTTCTGACCTAAAACAACTCGACATTATCGATTTAAGAGGTAATAATATAACTGAAATAAAGAGGAATGTTTTTACTGATCTCGCGGTACGTCACATCGATCTAACTAACAATGAAATTTCCAGCATAGCCCCTATTAATAATACTGTTACAATTACAAAATTGAGTTTACGATTCAATGGAGTTTTGGAAAAGCGAGCTATATCGAATATCTATTTGAGAGAAGTAGTTTTTGTTAATTCTTCAATACGTTTGTTAAGAGACGGCTGTTTTAAAGGCCTGTACAATTTGGAGAAGTTGCTGTTCAATGAATCAGAGGTAATTATGTACGAATCAGACACCCTACGTGGGTTGTATCATTTGAAGTATTTGGACGCTTCAAATTTACTCAGAAGGAATGAAGTGATACAAAAAAACTTTTTTAAAGGTCTTGGTAACCTGAAATTTTTACAAGTTTCGAATATGAGCTTGAAAACAGTTGAAACTGGGGCTTTCGTTGGACTTGACAGCATAGAGAAATTGAATTTAGAGAATCATCATCTTACTTCCATAGATCTGATGGAGATTCTCAATGGAACCAGAAAACTGAAAATCCTAAAACTCAGTAATGGAAACATAAGCAATTTGATATTCAGAAAAGACCAAAAAACTCTTTCCAGTTCCGCACTTAAGATGTTGTTTATAGATAACAACCATATACAAACATTTCACCATGAAGTATTTCACAAACTGATCATGTTGGAAACTTTACATTTGCAAAATAACAAAATAAACATGATTCCTCTCCAAAGTTTCAGGTATTTGAATAATTTGAAAGAGTTACGACTGGACAATAACTATTTGATAACACTCGGTCCTGGCATGTTTGAGGGTTTGATAAATCTGAGAATGCTCAATTTATCACATAATATTCAAGTTTCCTCTGATTCTTTGATAACCTTGCGTAGTTTGAATATATTGAATCTGGAACATACTTCCTGGAAAGACATTAATGAAATCACTTCATTTAGGGATGATTTTCCAGATCTGCGAGAAGTATATATAAATAACAATCCCTTCTCTTGTCCTGAGTTATCGATAATAATGAAATATTTTTACGAAAATTCGATCAACCATCCATCTGATAATCCAAGATATGATGTTTGGAATATAAATGGCATAGTTTGTTAATATTCAGATATCAGAAAATAAAGTAGTTGTTACGAATATACTTGCTATTTTAATCTTACTATACTCTTTTGAACTAGTGAAATGGAGATGGGAGCAGTTGTACTAACTCCACGTGGAGACCTGAAAAATAAATCACTCCACAGTAATTTTCATTCCAAGTACTTCGTTCCACGGGTATACTCCCACCACAACAGGAGGCAGTGTATTTTCCACTTTGGAGTATATATTTAACAGAATGGTACTGAATGGAGCCTGTTAAGTCATTATGATCCTCTACTTTGCATGATCTACGACAACGAGAGAGCCAGAATTGAATAATTCCTATCTGAGCTGCCCGAGCGGGTGAACGTAACAGAAAGTTCAGGTTTTTAGTTATGTCTGAGGGAAGTAACCATAACTCTGTCCTCGAGTTGAAAATTTTTTCAGAAATTGGCCAAAACCATAGAAATCACTCAACTATTGTGACTACACACCTGCCAGGTTGATGTGTTCAATACCCCAGTACACGGTGGTTGTATGATGGCAGATCCTGCTTCTGACATCAGAAGCAGGATCTGCCGTGAGGAGTCTGGGACCCTCATGATTTTGTGGCTCTAGCCTCTATCTATTGATATACTACAGCACTACTAACACTTTCGGCTCTCGTACCACGTTGCTTTATGTTCTGGGAAATATTTCGTGCGTTGTGGAAAATCGCATTCAAGTTTTCAGCACTAGGTGTGACAAATATCCTTCGAAAACGAATGCAATATCAAGAATTTCTCTTCGAAATCTCCAGATTCTCCAGATTCTCCAGACCATTCTGTTAATATAATCCTTTTTATTCTTAGATTTTTCGGTATAATGATGACTTGATCGCTTCTCTACTCTCGAAAGCATACCAATTTGTCACACTACGTCAAAAATCTTGGCCAAACAAACGTAAAAGGTTGCTATACTGGACTCAGTGGTTCTGAGAAGACACAACTTTTGAACATGGTGTGTAGAATGGTCGTTGGTTATTAATACCGGTGCCCCTTCGAAATGTCAGGGCTTCTCCTGAGAGACAAAATTTCGAAAGTATGGATTACGAAAACAGGTAAAATGACCAAATGCGACTGTATACGAAAAACCACATTTGACAGAAGCATTGAATGTAGCCTTCTTTTAGAATAAATTGATTCTCATCTTGACTCAGCGTTTTCCTGCTATTTGAATAACCTTCATTTCAGACAACATAATCTAGTTTTAACACAATAACTATCGCGTCTAAATATAGATGTCATGGCACTACACGAGACAAAGATAAGAAGCGAAAAGAGCTATCATATTCCAGGATACAACATATATAGGACAGACAGGCGAGGGGGGCGCCGCCCCGCGGGGAGGGGAGGCGGCGCTACTAGTAAAAAAAGATTTAGCGCAAAACGAAGATCGAAAACCATATGTCCAACTCGAAGAAGCAGTAATGGTCCGAATCAAACTAAGACACTATTAGCAGCTAAGAATATTGTCGGTATACCTACCTCCGCTAGGTAGAAGACTAGAATGAACCAACATGATAGAATTATTCCCAGACCACCATACAACACTTGCCATCGTCGACCTCAACGCAAAGTCGCGAGAATGGAACTGCAGATATGGAAATACGAGGGGTAGAGATTTAATCAGAATTCTAGGTGAATTCGAAGACATCGCGTTGGTAGCACCGAACACCTCAACACACTACCCGCGAGAAGACCATGTGCCTGACATTCTAGACATCTTACTAGTGCAGAACATCGATACTACGGAGATGGAAGTACTAGACGAAGGTTCGTCAGACCACAACCCCATTCTGTTAATAATAGGGAGAGGTGAAGTGGAAGCAGACAACCAAACAAAGCGAGTCATCGACTGGATGAGATTCCAGCGCGCCATACACGATGCGATGGGTGAGATACTATGCATCGATACAAAAACGGATCTGGAGAACTCCATTCACCAGCTGCAGCCGGCGATCATTCAAACTATGGAGAGAAGCGCACGAGAAGTCCCAGTCCTGCGCTTTAACTTCCAAGAGCATCTTTCACCAAAAACGGTGGAATTGATCAGGATAAGAAGACGCTTGAAAAGACATGCGCACCTTTGGACAAAAGGAGCATGCAAAGAGCCAACAGGATATTGAAAGAAGAACTGGAAGCTATCCGAGATAGATAATGGACTACCCGTCTGGAAGAATTGAATACTGAAGACCAGTCTGCATGGAGAATGCAGAAAGAACTCAGGCATGGACCTCGACAGCCATGCCTGCCAATACACGGTGAGCAAGGAATCGTCTACACTGACCAGGAGAAGGCGGAAGCATTCGCGGATAACTTCGAAAGGCAGTGCAGAGAGAACGACGTCCCGTTCACGGACAAAGTAGACGAATTCGAGAGATAGGTGGAAGGAACGGTACGAAGAATATGACAAAGATCGGACAACGCACAACCCCTGGCCCCGACATCTCCAGAGGAAGTGAAAGACATCCTTAGACGTCTATCCACTCGGAAAGCACCAGGCCCGGATCGAATAACAAACCGGGCACTGAAAGTCCTACCACGCAAGGGTATAGCAGCCATAACCAATATCATGAATGCTATTCTCAAACTGCAGCATTTCCCGTACCCGTTCAAGGAGGCAACGGTTCTCCACATCCCGAAGCCCAAGAAGAACCACCTGTTCCCAGATAATCATAGGCCAATTAGCTTACTGCTTTCCATAAGCAAAGTGAAGGAGGGTATCATCTTGAAGAGACTGGAAGATCAAACCAGAGAGCTAGGAATCCTCCCGGATGAACAATTCGGTTTTAGATCAGAACACTTGATAGAGCTACAAGTCCTGAGGGTAGTAGACTTTGCGACTAAAGGCTTCAACCTCGGCAAAGGATACAACACCGGAGCTAGCGTTCGACAGAGTTTGTCATGACGGACTACTGGCCAAGTTGAGCGATTTTGGATACACAAAACTAATCCAGAGAACAACTTTAACAAGCTGGTGCTCTACGCGGACGACACGGCCCTGCTGGCGAGATCTACGAGCCAAAAGCATGTCACGAGATATTTGCAGCAACATGCAGACAGATTAGAGGAGTGGGCCAACCTGTGGAAGATCAGTATAAACCCTGACAAGAGTAAGGCGATACTGTTCACTCACTACTTTTAACACAATAACGCATCGCCACATTTCGCTACAACTGTGCACGATATTGTAAACCCCTTTTCCGATTGGTGGACCGAAAGGAATGTAATAGTAGAATGGTCCTCTTTATCACCTGCTTTCAAACCATTAGATTTCTTAAAATTCAAGTCTGCAGAATGCAGAATTCAATACTCATTGATACACATACTTGAGAAATTAATGTGTAGCGTTCAATGGATACACATTTATTTTCATTTTGTTGTGAATTGGTTGACTGCGAGGGCGATGATAGTGTCTCAAAGTCGACGCATACTCCACTGAAAATATTTGACATAGTAGCAGACGAAGCGGTCGGTACTACAATCCCTTTAGATCACAGCCTGCCAACCTGGATTTTGTTTTCTCTAATCGTGACTCCGTCCTTGAGCCTATGTTCGTATACCTCTTGTACCAATTGACGTAATTGACGTAACAATAATTAATGTATGAGATACCTAACTTCACCTAGATATTTTTTTCAAGAGAATATTTCTAGTTGGGTTGATTGCGAGTATGCTACGTTGCATGGTCGATCGAATTATGAATAACCATGATGCTAATTATATTTCTCGTTCACACAAAAGGGTTTTTAAAAACTTTTTATTTGAACAGAGTAACAACTAATAACTATGAAATATAAGTACTGGCTATTACAAATCAATTGAACCTATTTATACATAAATTATTGCCGACTTTGCAGATATCAGCAAAATAATTGATGTCGTCTTCGGGTCATCGAACAATATCCTGCTGATGTAAGAGGTTATCGAACTGTAACTTGCTCTTTAGGAGGCTCGGGGAGTTGTTAACAATACCTATCCAGAACATGAGGTAAGTAACAATATAAGTCGATGTTGTTAATATAAAAAAACTAGAGTATAAAACTCACTCCTTATGAAATAGTTATAGAGGAATTGGCGGAACTTAAATGTAACTTTTTTTCATAGGTATATTTTGTATATACATATATTTTATGAATAAAGGTATTAAAAAATTATCAATTCTTTCTCTTCAGTAATATTACCACTCGTAGATTCCACGTTCAATCTGAGACAAATATTTGCCGCAAAAATTCAAAAGACTATTTCTTGGACTATTCTAAGGATATTTTGTCCTTTGATGATTTTTGATAGGGCGCTTTGTTTCGAAGATACGGAGCGAAAAAGAATTTCCACAATAAAAATGTATTACCAAAAATTAATATTTCTTGATCTACAAGAACTGTTGAAAATGACTACCCTCCACTCGGATGCAAGAATCCAATCTTCTCCTCATTGACTCCCAAACTCTTTCAAAAACACCAGGATCACTTACGAGACATACTATTCAAATTGAATGTCTGCAGCCGTTTGTAGTAATCGGAATGTTGTTGATAGGTAACAACGGAATTGTTAGATTTTTTATTACTTGGTAGGTCAAATGTAGTACGCTATACTTTCATTTCGGCTACGTTGCAATTTTAAAATTACTAAAATTGTTATTGTCGAAATTCTTTTTGGCCCGGTATCTTCGAAACAAAGCGCCCTATCAAAAATCATCAAACGACAAAATATCCCCATGATAGTCCTAGGAATAGTCCCTTAATTTTTTGCTGGATGTTTAAAGAACACCCAGTATATAAAAAACCACTGAATCCGTATATAAGAGCAGAACAATGCAAATTGAGTATTGTTTCCATTCAGTGATTCCATCTCTTTTGTTCGAAGATTTACTCCAAGATATTTCCTAGTGGCACTGAAGCTATCCGGTCCATCACATTCAGCAAGTATATGTATAGTAAATAGTCTGGACTTTGCGCCCACAGCGCAACGACTACTCATGGTTTTCAATAGACTTCGTTAACTCTGGATCGGGATCT